GTTTTCTTTATTTTGTACATCAGGAAGGGGGGCTAGGGAAGGGTAAGTGGAAGGAGGTGAGGGAGGAATGGGGTACGAGCCCCCGATGTGGAGGAGTGGGCTGGCTCTGCGGGCTTCTGGGGGTGGAAGCTCTCCTGCAGCCCCCCAATTGTGCCCTCTCCCCAGATGGCAGCCTGCGGCAAGTGCAGCCGGTCTGATGGCCGAGTGCTGTGATGTGCCCAGTGTGGGCACTCAGGGCACTCCAAGACAGGACTGCTTTGCAAGCGGGGCACCCTTGAGAACTGTCTGTCCAGGGTGGGGGGGTCGGGTCCCTTTAAGCACAGCCTTCGGCTAGCCTGAGGCAGCAGCTCCACGCTCTAAGTCCTCATCTGATGCCCTGCCGGCACTGCTTCCGGCCATCCTTAACCCCGGTTCAGGGTCCACTTAATGTGGACATGCTAGTTCAAATTAGCAAAATGCTAATTTGAACTAGTTTTTTAGTCTGGATGCAATAGTTCGAATTAGCTTAGTTCGAATTAACTAATTCTAAGTTAGTTCGAATTAGCACTGTAGTGTAGACGTACCCTAACAGACTAGAAGTAACAGCTGTGTTAGTCTGATCTTGGTAAAACAAAAAAAAAAAGCAGTCATGTAGCACTTTAAAGACTAACAAGATGGTTTATTAGGTGATGAGCTTTCATGGGGCAGACCCACCAATTTGACTGTTCCATAGCCCTGATGTCTAAAGATGAACACTTGTTGCCATTGGCGCTGCAGGTTCTCAGCTCCTCTAAAAATCAGAGCCTACTTATCTCAGGTTAGGCAGCCTGGACATTTTTGAAAATTTGGATGATGATATACCTGATCTGTATATGGGATGGACAGTGTCTACTGCTAATTCAGGGAGAGATTCTGATCTATTTCTAACTCTGCTCCTGACACATTGTGTGACCGTGGGAAGTTGGGGGGTATTTTTTCACACCCCGGAGCGAGAAAGTCACAGCACAGTAAAGTGGTAGTGTAGACAAGCTCAAAGTCTCAGTGAAGATACCAGACTAGGGCCTAAGTGGCACTATAAACGGGCAATATGTCGGGCCTCTGGAAGGGACTTAATATTCCTGTTAAGGAGGAGACCTATAACAGAGAATGTGACAAATTAGCCCAGGAATGGTTCCCTTGTTTGTTTTTCTTATAAGCCTGGAGTGCTTACTCCCATAAAGGTCAACAGGAGTACTGATTGGGAAAACACAGCAAAGACTATCATGATCTGGTCTACAGATGCATTCTAATTGTGGACTATTGCCTAAATTGTTCTTCCTTTTGCCAGTGCAGTAAAGGAAACCAGATCTCCTAAAAGTTATTTGCATAGATTCCAAGACCAGAAGAGACCATTGTGATCATCTCGTCTAACCTTCTGTAAAATTCAGGCCACAGAATTGCACCCAAAACACACTGTAAATGGAAGAGTCAACAATGTGGCCCTTATACTGGCTGCTGACTGTGTGAACAGGTACTTTTCTCAAACCTTCCATACGGAATTTTAGCTGTTCTTGCCACACCTGTGAAGAGTATGAAATTTGGCTGTTAATTAAGGTTACGGTGAGGCTATGTCTAGACTGCAGGCTTCTTTTGGAAGAAGCTTTTCCGGAAGAGATCTTCTGGAAAAACTTCTTCCAAAAGAGAGCATCCACACTGCAAAACCACATCAAAAAAGCTGTCTGCTTTTTCGAAAGATAGCATTCACACTGAATGTATGCTATCTCACATTTAAGCTGTGATTACTGTGGATGGAGTGGCCACTAGGGCACCTGTGCTTTTTCCTCTTTCCTCTTCTTTCGAAAGAACTCCCTCTTCCCCATCCACACACGCCTTTTTCTGAAAGAGCTCTTTTGGAAAAAGGCTTCTTCCTCATCGAATGAGGATTACCAATGTTGGAAAAACCCTCTGTTCTTTCGATTTTCTTTTGAAAGAATGCTATTACAGTGTGGATGTAACTCAAGTGTTTTCAGAAAAACAGACG